ACAAAAAACCAAAAACCAATCCAACCCTGGCTCTTCTTGGTTGCATAAGCATTCAGCCTGTTTTCTGTGACAGGCCGAACGAAGCTCTGGGGGGACCCACTGCCTCCAGAAATCACATTCTGTAAGTGATTGAACAGAGCACACTCGTGCGTAATTCAAGTGCCACTTGATCTCAAATTAAATACAGCTGTTTCTGGAATGCCCCGAAGTTTGTTGTAGGTCTTATTTAAGCAAACAGCATTATGGAAACCAAGGAGCTATCAAAACGACTCTGAGATAAAGTTATGCAGAAGCACCAATCAGAGTTGAGTTATAAAAATTATTCCAAACCATGAACATGCACCCATGTACCACGAAATGCATTATTCCAAAATGGAGATAATATAGCTCAACATTTCTGCCTTCAGAAGGCCATCCATCAAAACTCTGTGACTGGATAAGGAGGTGTTTTGTCAGAGAAGCAATCAATGTTCCAATGGTAACTCCAAAGAACCCAGACAATTCTCAATTGTGATGACAGAAACCATTCATGGAACAACCTTCACCTGGACATTCCACAAAGCTGGGCTTTATGGAAGAGTAGCAAGAAGAAAGCCATTATTGAAACAAGCCCATAGAAAAGCTTATTTGACTTACGTGGGAACAAAAAGAAAGAATCCAGGAACAGGTAGATTTGCAGATTGTTAAAAAGGTTAAATACTTGGGAATCTATCTTACAGCCAAATGTACTACTTTGAAAGAAGATAATTATGATAAATTACTGAAGGATACTAAAGGGGATTTGGAAAGATGGGCCAAATTGCAATTATCTTTGATGGGAAGAATAGCACTTGTTAAAATGAATATATTACCTAAGTTTTTGTTTCTGTTTCAAATGATTTCCGTAAAAATTGATAAAAAATTCTTTGATGATCTAAACTTTCAAATTTCGAGATTTATCTGGAGAAAAAAGAAACCAAGGATTAAATAAAAATGCTTCAGGAGGCTAAAAAGAATGGAGGTTTTGGTCTTCCCAATTGGATGTTATATTATCAAGCGTCTGTTTTAATGTGGTTAAAAGAATGGATAACTTTACGAAATAAAAGAGTTTTGTATCTTGAAGGTCATGACTTGCAGATGGGTTGGTATGCTTATATGTGGTATGAAAAAGCTAAGTCACATGGGTCCTTTCTGAGTCATTTTATTAGAAGATCTCTAATGTCAGTGTGGGAAAAACTAAAGCCAAAAGTGTATAATAAATTACCAAGATGGCTTTCACCTATGGAAATTTTTGCATATCCAAATGTATTGAACTTTGAAAAGATCATAAGATATGACGATATCTTGGATAAGGATGGTGGCTTGAAACTGGAGCAAGAAATACAAGAACAGGGACTTAATATTTCCTGGTGGTATAAGGTACAGATGCAATCGAGGTATGCTAAAGATTGTAAAACATGGGGGTTTTATAAAGACCTAACAGAGTTTGAACAAGTGATGCTTAAAACAGATGAGAAAATTATTAAAAGACTATATGATTTTTTACTTGACAGGAAAATGGAAGGGGACCAGGTTAAGGAAACTATGGTAATATGGGCACAAAACTTTGGATTTAATGTTGAATTAGAAAAGTGGCAAAAATTATGGGAAAGAAACATCAAGATAACATTAGCAACTTCATATAAAGAAAATTTATATAAAATGTTCTATAGATGGTATTTGTCACCAAGCCGATTAGCTAAGATGTTTCCAAATATGTCAAATAGATGTTGGAAATGTAAACATAAAGTGGGTACTTTTTATCATATGTGGTGGACTTGTGATGTGAAAAAGTATTGGATTAAAATACATAAATGGCTGGAGGAAATATTACAGAAACCCTGTGCTTTTAAACCTGAAGTTTGCTTGTTAGGCATTATACCGGAAGACGTCAACAGACAGGAAATGTACTTGATGTTGCACTTAATTACAGCGGCGAGGATTGCATTTGCTCAATATTGGAAAAATGAGGAGCTACCCACCGATGAACTGATTGTAAGAAAGATCTTGGACTGTGCAGAAATATACAGATTGACTTTATCATTGAAGGAGAAAGAGGATACTGACTTCTATCGAACTTGGGACTCTTTCTATAATTGGCTAGAGAAACGGGACTTGGCGTAATTTGAATTTGATTTTAGAATGTTTAAAAAATGTGTGTGTGTGTGTGTGTGTGTGTGTGTGTGT